TAATCAGAATAGCCAAAATAGGACAGAACAAACCATATATACTGCAGGAGTTCAAAGGTGAAGAAGGTCAATCCTCATAATCGATAATGATATTTATAGTATGCTTTGCAATTTATGAAGTATTTTCCATGACCTCTGTTGAAGAACTCGTGATTTTCCCCATAGGCTATATTTTTTAAAAGACTTTGAGACAAAAGAGGATGACAGTCCTCAAAGTGACTTCCCAGGGTCCAGTGTAGGGGGAAGTGGGTACATAACTAGACATGCAGGACTGAAGCAGATTGATTGCTTGAGATCAGGAGTTCTGAGTGTAGTAGAGCTAAAGTCAATTTGGTATCTGCACTAAGTCTGTCACCAATATGGTGAGCCCCTGGAAGAAAAGGTAAGGAGAGGACCATGTTGCCAAAGAAGGGGTGAAATGGTGCAAGTTAAAGATTCCTTAACAATCAGCAGTAGCCACTAAGTGGCTATAAGTGGCCACTCCACTTCCATTCTGGGCAAAATAGGGAGACCCAGGCCAAAAGAAGGAAAAAGAAGGGAGGGAAGGAAAGAATAAATATGAATACAGAAAGAAAGTCACTGCCATGGGCACAATATTTTCTTTGGAGCTAGGGTAGAGCAGTGAGTAGACCCTCCTGTACTTGTAGGTATGAGTGAGTATTAATTGGACCATGACATGAACAGCCTTGGTTCCCACAGGATGAGCAAGCTGCTGTTCAACTGAACGGCTGAGGAAGCAGCACAGTGAGCCATCAGGCACAGGATCAGAATTTCTGTGGCCCTTTGAGCCTAAGGGAGAATTCTGCTTCCCAGTTTGTGCTATGGTTGTGATGGAACCACTGTTGTTTTCCACAGAAGAGGGTCCGAGTGAGGGAATCTGAAGGTTTGCATTCAACTCGGGGATTGTTTGCTTCACCACATGGCAGGAGGCAATGAGAGTGGGCTTCCATTCTGTGGGGTGGGGGAAATTGAGATGTTTGCAGCTTCTGAGCTATACATGTCTGTCGCTTGTATTTTATTACACTTTTATCTAATCTATTTAAATTATTAACCATGACTATGACTTTGAATTGAGGCCACTGAAATAAAACTACTTCACTTAGTAAGGATAAGAGCATAGGAGTAAAAGCTATTTAATTAAATACATCATATGCCTGGATAGGAAAGGGGTAGGGATTGGCACATCAGATTGGGTGGGTTGTTGCATTATTTGGAAGCTACCCCTATCCATGGTCCTGACTGCTCATAGACGCTCGTGTAGGCACTCTGCTACCAAACACCTTAATTATTTCATTTGATTCTCATGACTATACTTCAAGGTAAGTTGTATAAATGTTATCTCCATTCTATAGATTAAGAAACTGAGACCCAGAGAGTGAATTGAAATTTTAAGTACCTATCCTGTGTGTGGCACTGTTGGGTGTTGGGTATATGTGAAGTTTAGATGAGACATATTTCCTGCCCTCACAGAGCTTACAATCCAGTATATAGAGAAATAAGATACAAATAGACATAGCTAAATATCTGTATAAATAAACACAAATACAATAATGCCTAAGTTAACAGGGAGAACAAAGCACCATATTAAAGCCAAGGTGTGGGGAGAGAAGTCAATATCCATAGAAAGGTTACATATAAAGGGGAAAGTACACATAAAATGATTGCAATCAATTTGGATTGTAAAGGAGGTGGGAAGAAATCCAAAGGTACCCAGAACCGGAAAAAACATAGCAGCTATAGCATACATGGAGAAAAGCCATATGATTACAACCTGAAAAAGTGTATGGTGCCAGAAATGACTCCCCCAAGGTCACACAGTGAGTTAAGTGGAAGTAGTGAGTATAAAACCTGGGAACTTTGGCTCAAATTCTGACTCTGATGTCACTTACTTAGTCTTGAATGAGCCTCTGAGCCTCAATCTCTTCTTCTGTAAAATTAAGGCTTTGAATTAGATGCTCTCTAAGGACCATTCTAACTTTGACATTCTATATTTTAAGGTTCTTTGTAGCTTTAAAGCCCATGAAATTCAGTGCTTTTTCCATTATACCATGCTTTCCTTCCATTTGAAAGAATAGGTTTGCTGTGGTTGTGTTGAGCTTTCAGGGGAGAGGATGTCTATTTGCATGTATATATATGGCATTTTTTGTATTGGAAGGCTCCAAGTTCAAAAGGAAGCTAATTCACCTTCCCCTCATCACTCCTTCTAATATTGTTTCATTGCCCACAAGTGGTCTTGTTCTGCCTCCCTAGCCCAGGAAGCCCTTTGGGCAGGGAAAGCAGGTCGACCAGTAGGCAAAAGGGCCCAGTTGCTCATCAGGATGCTTCCCTAAGGACAGTGTACTTAAACTCATTTTGTTTCTACTTTTCCATTCCAGGATGGAAGGCTGATGGTTCAGGAGCTGCTAGGCTGAGAAAAAGAGGGCGGGGTGATAGAGGGGCCCAGAGAAAATGCATTTGCAAAGAGGATGCTCCTCTGCTTGTATTAATAATTAGCCCCTTCTAATTGGGATGAGAACCACTTCTGGCCCCTTGCCAAGCCATTTGCAATCATAAATGGGAAATGTGCACTGACTTCACATGTTAGGCGGGATGGGGAAATTTCCTTTTCTACCCATTTGCAGAACCACAGCAGTGGTTTGAGCAAGTTTCTCCAGGCTGTGTGGTCCACAGCCTGTGAGCTCATACTTGGAAATGAGGCCATGAGCAAATGAAGGCTAAAAGCAACAAGGAGACCCACAGAGCCTCAGGGGCCATTGATCAGGCCTGGTGCAGCATGAACAGGAACCATAAAGCTGTCTTCCAACAGGAGACTGAGGGTAGGACTGGACCACAGGAGTTCCATAGAGGCTGCCACCCTCTCATATAAAAGATCAATGGAGTCAGTAAGCAGAAAGATGAAACGGGATTCATTTATGAAAACAGGCTTAGCATAATGGTAACCCATTTCTTCTGACATTCAGAGCCTTCTGAAAGAAGGTAGGCAGTCATGATCCACAAGGCACTGTTCTTTGAAGTGATGTCCCTACAATGAAGGTCAAACATTTCTTAGGTGTCTGCCTGTGTGGACACCTCTCATACATGAAAAGAGGAGGCTAGGAGGTATAGTGGATAGAGCACTGGACCTAGAGTCAGGAAGACCTGAGTTCAAATCTGGCTTCAGATAATAGCTGTGTGACCTGGGCAAGCCATTTATCCTGTTTGCCTCAGTTGCATCATCTGTAAAATGGGGACAATAATAACCCCTCCCAAGGTTGCTTGTGAGGATTACATGACATAATAATTATAAAGAGCTTAGCTCAGTGCCTGGCACGTAGTTAGTTATTGTTATTATTGGGGAAAAAACTCTAGATTTCACATCAGAGAACCTTGGTTTGAGTCTCAGTTCCACTAGCCAATATTTGTGTGACTTTGGGTGAGCCACTTAACTCATCTGGGTCCATCTCCTCATCTATGAAATGAGACAATTAAATCAGATGATTTCTGATGTCCCTTCCAGCTCAGAAATCCTATGATCCATTAGCATATAAACTTAAGACATCGCCTCTGTTTGCTTTTGCTTTGTATCCCCAGCACTGAGCCTGCCCTATAATAAATTCTTAACAAATGCTTACCATAACAAGGCATCATGGTGTAGTGGATACAGAGCCAGCCTTAAAGACAAGAAGACCTCAGTTTCAGTCCCTTCTCTGACCCATGTTAGGTGTCTGACCCTTGGCCAGACACATAACCTGCCATCACTCTAACTTTCTAAGTCTACAAGTTGCAGAGAAGGTTTCTTCACTGAGCAGTTCCCTGGACCAGTGAAATCACAGTTGCAGTCACTGCCCCAAATGAAGGCCTCTGACCTCATGATTGATCTCATGAAGTAGTAGATCATATGATCTATGAAATTGAATGTGAGAAACTATGGGAAAACTCTCCCATCCTTCAATTCTGCTTCATCATGGTATCTTTAATTCCCTCATTAGAATTCCACTACCTTAAATTTGGAAGGGGCAGCTTTGGTGGTACAGTGGATAGAACACTGGGTCTAGAATCAGAAAGATCTGAGTTCAGATTTGGCCTCAGATGCTTGTAAGTCACTTAATCCCTATTTGCCTCAGCCTCTCATCTGTAAATTGGGGACACACTGGAGAAGGAAATGACAAACCATTCCAGTATCTTTGCCAAGAAAACCCCATAGACTTTGTCCATGGGTTCATGTAGAGTTAGATTACCAAGCAACAACCACCTTAAATTTAGCATTGGCCTTTGTAGGCTCTGCTTTTAGAATGCAAAGCCCCAAGAAGGTGGAATTTCGGGATCTGAGATAGCCTTTCTGGAGAAATATTCATAAAATCCTGTCCTAGTTATTTAGAGCTAGAAGAGACATTCTAGTCCAACCCCTCATCTTATGACAGAAAATTCAGAGACACTAAGGAACTTATCCAAGGCCCAAACAGGAGCAAGAAGCAGAGGAAGGATTTGAATCTTCTTCTGACTCTAAATCTTAGGCTCTTTTCACTAAACTATGGGAACATTTCAGATAACTCTCAGATCATATCACCTCTTTCACCCATGAATCAACTGAAGTGGAAGCTTAGTGCATGAAAAGAATACCAGAACAGGAGTCATGGGACCCAAATTTGAACCCCATTTGTACCACATAGCAGTCATGTGACATTGGGAAAATAACTACCTCTTTGAAACTCAGTCTCTTTATCTGTGAAATGGGGAAAATAATATCTCCTGTAAGTGGTCTGTTGTGAGAATCAGATGAGATCATGCACAAGATCATATAAGAAACCTCATAGGTCTTTAAGTCCGCCCCGGTCTCATTTTACAGATGAGAAGACTAGACCAGACAGGTTGAACTTCATTGCTCAGGAAATTTTTACATGGCAGTTAACAGTGATTGGCAGTTCAAGTATGGTCTGGCCCCAACCTACTAACCCCACAGCAAAGGAAGAATGATGCAAGCCTCCAAGTCTGACAGTATAGAGCTTGGGACAAAGGACCACTGGAATAATACATAGCTCTAGCCCTGAGTGGATGAAATCACTTTATTAAAGAAGAACATTGCCATTCCAATACACCAGGTAAAATCAGTTGGCATTATTAGGTATATTTTTGTTTATTGATTGACTGATTTTATTTTGTTGATTTACTTATGTGTATATTTGTTTCATTTATTTATTTGTTGATTTTGTTAAATTTGTTTATTTGTTCTTCCAGTTTTATTTCCTGAATTGGGACTTGGTGTTATGACCATGCTCTATACACTTCTGGACAGAATGTGAGTCTTATCTGATCTTGTTGTGTGTCATTTAGAGTCCTGATGCTGTGTTCTGTTGGGTGTTATTTTCTTCAAGATCTCAGGGGCAGCTTAAGCCATAGTGCTATAACGCTTTAGCGGCACCCAGATGATTGGGCACTGTCTGATTATTGTTTCCTGGTATGAATTTTACAGGTTCTAGACTCAGGTTTTGGTACAAGTGATACAACTACATTCCTGCCCTCATTGGATCTCCAGTAGACAGTTGCTAGCTGGATTGCTCCCCACATTGGTCACTTTCCAATGACATGAATGCTGCTCCAAGATCAAAGAGAAAGTGATGACCACCTTATACTGATCTATGACAGCAGACTGAATACTTGATCTCATTCTAGAACATAATGACAGTGCTGTAGTACTAGCCCTGCTCTATAGTTCCTAACCCCATTACTTACCTATGGACTGAATGTCTGATCTTAGACTGGAAAGAAGATGCACTGTGGTTTCTGTTTTGTATTTTCCAATCACTATTCAATCTGGTGCTTTTCCTATATCTTTGTGGGAGAAGTGGTAGGGAAGAGATAGAATGTACAGCTATCTCCTTGCACTCTGCCATCTTTGCTATGCCTGGTATTATTTAGCTATCCTCTGTGCGTGAATCTTGTCTCTCCATCCAATCTGTCTGAAAGCAGAATTTGAGTCTGTTTTTCTTATTTTGTACCTCCTGCCCCTCATCAACCACCCCAGATTGTAAGCCAAAGAGCCCTGTGTAGGTGAGGGAGGAAAGGAAACAGCAATGAAGGAAAGGAGAAAAGAAGGGATGGAAGGAAGAAACGACACTATTGGAATATGTCCATTCCAGGAAATTGGTTAGAAAAATCAATCCCATTACCAAGCTACCACATAACACATCATCAGCAACTGAAGATGACTGCAGGCATAGTGGGAGTTGGGAGTAGGAAACGGTGCACCAAAAAGCTAACACAACTGAGGCTGCATCAGTAGAAGTTTGCTGTCTGGAATGAGAAAAGCTTTAGGCCCCATTTGTTGTGTTCAGGTCCTGAGCCACATTGGAGGAAGGAAGATGGCAAACTAACGTGACTTCAAAGGTGGGTATGAGAACCAGTACAGGAAAGGGTTTCAAAACCACGCGTGAGTCACATGAGGACAGTCTGAATGAATGAGGAGTGCTTAACCTGGGAAATGAGAAGACTTGATTCAGCATGGGGACCACATCAATTAAGTAGTTAATTATTTAAATATACATTTGAAAAACATTCCAAAATAAAATATGTGTGTGTGTGTGTGTGTATATACATATATACATATATATGTATACATATATTTGCTAACTGGGTCAGTCTTAATAGCAGAAGCATAAAGAAGCCTGTAAAAGTCATGGAAGAACTTGAGTCATGGACTTCTCACGGCAACACTGAGCATGGAACAGAGGAATACATTCCAGTAGGAGAGTTGGTTCTAGTCCCAGTTCTGCCACGATAAACTGTGCATAGTGCCTTCTGATTTCTCGGCCTCAGCTTATTAAACACCAGAGAAATGCAAGCATTGTACCAACTGATCTTGATATCAGCTGTATTTGCTGGACTGGACTCCATCATACCCTTGCACAGGGTTCCTTCTTACCCAGACTCCCTTCTCCTCACTTATTAGCTTCCTTTTGTCCATTGTCTCCCCCTCCCATTAGATTGTAAGCTCCTTGAGGGCAGTGACTTTCTTTTTATTATTTGTATTCCCACTGCTTTACACAATGCCTGGCACATAGCAAGTCCTTAATCAGTATGTATTGGCTGACTCACCATTTCTTCTATCTTTAAAACTTTGTATTCCAAGGTCCCTTCTCACACCAACATTCTCCAAGCCGGTGAATCTGTAAATGCTTTGGAAAACAAAACCAAACAAAACAAAATACTGCCTGACAAGTTACAGAAAGGAAGAGGGGACAGTCAGTGTGAATTCTGAATGTTGAACAACTGATATTGATTATGTATGGGCTATAGCAGATGAGATGTCTTGACTGTGGACTGTGAGGAGGGAAAAAGAGAAACAGGAAAGAACAGAGAAGAAAAAAAGGAGGTAGAGGAGGAGGACAGGAAGGTGGAAGGCTTTCACACAAATCTCATTCCAATGACTTATCATGGTGTGGGGAGACTGAGACCTCTCAAATGTTAGGCCAGAATCTATGGAATTCAAGCCATGGCAAGTCCTAGCAAATTTAAAGGCCTCATGTATGAACGGGGTGGTGGCTTGAATATCTGTTGTCTGAAAAGCGGCCCAGCTAAGTTTAGAAAGGCTTATCACCAGGCGGCTTGCAGGGTGATGAATTTTGGGGCCATAACTCACGAAGACCAGCTACTAAGCAATAGCAGAAGTTTCTGACTGCACTGGGAGAGGGAGTAACTCCACAATGAAATCACAGATTGTTGAAGTATTAAACCGCAGTGCTTTATAAGCAGAATTCACATCTGTTATTTCATCTGAGTCTCACAATACCTCTGTGGGCTGTTATTTCCACTTTACAAATGAGGAAAAATGGGTCCCAGAGAGGAGGGGTGTCTTGCCTCAATGAATCACTGGAAGAGGTGACCCACAAAGTATATAAGAAGGAATGGAGTGGCATTGTATTTATTTGGTGAATAAATTGTGTTTGGTGTTTGTTTGCTTTCTCCTCCAGGCTTCTTTAGGGAGCTAATTTTCTTCCTAGTTGTGATCCCCAGAGCAGCATTTTAATTATTATTCTAGGCCTTTCCTTCCTAATCACTGTGTACAGCAAGGTGAGAGCCTCTCAGAACTCAGAGGATCTTCATCACTAGTGAAAATTAAATGCCAGGCAAAAGGAGATGAAACCGTAACGCTGACCAGGGTGGATTTCAAGTTGGCTAAGAGAAGAAATGGCATGGTGTTAATGTGGCAGACTGATCGGGTACAAGGGAATGAGAGAACCCTATAGTTTTTCCTACCAATTGAAGCTATGTTCTGGGTTTTTAATTGATTTGGTCACATAAAACAAATACAATAATAGACCATTAAAATATTTTTTTAAATATAGACCCTCCAGAATTCTTCCTTAAGATGACTCATTTGCCTGATTGAGCCATGTATGCCTCTGGCTCAGAACTGAAAGATTTGGCACATTGGGATGACTTAACAATCCCTTGGCTCCCATGACAGAAGTACTGGAAGGGGGCCATATTAAAAAGGATTAGCCAGTGGAGCAGGAAGAGCCATCCTGCTCAGCAGACCTTAGAAAGAGTGACTCTGCCCTCTGGTGCTCTCTTTTTGGCCTCTCTATGCAACATGTGGCATGGAAAATGTCTTGGGACTTCTTCTTACATTTATGGTGTCCTCACACACGTATACTGCCAAGGCAAACCTGAGCCCAGGTCTTGGGCCTCTGGTTCCTCCTTCTATTTTGTCTTTCTTTCCCTCAGCACATATTCTTGAACAACAATTCTAAGCAATAGACTTTTGGGGAGTGGGTTCTTCAGTTAGTGCTGGTTACAATATAGGATGCAGAAACCTTCAATAGAAACTGCATTGCTTCCCAAAGAACATCACTGCTGAATGGGGGAAGAACCCACCCCTTGACTGGGTTTCCCAGGTGATACTTTCCCTGAAGGAGCTGTTCAGGCAGTAAAGTAAAGGCGAAATGCCAACTCAGCAGTCACACAAAATAGCTTTTGTTTTGATGTTTTAAATATGTTTTAAATATCAGTCTATATTTAGGAGACTATAAAAGGAGTAAAAAGTTACTGTTTAATATTTGTCTTTGTCAGCATGTATTTATGAGTCTTAAATGTTTTCAGCACTTCTTTTCCGTGGAGGAAATAAATAGCTGTCCTATACTTGATCTACATTGTACACTGAGTACCCTTGAGCCCTTTAGGAGGAAGATCCTAGATATGAACCAAACTTAACTTTTAAGTGATTCTCCCTAAGACTCTAGGATGAGGATACAAAGAATCAGACAGTTTGAAAAAATAATAATGATAATGATAAATGGCTAAAATATGTATAGCATTTACTACATGCTAGGCTCTGGGATAAGTGCTTTACCATCATCTCATTTGTTCTTCACAGTAACCCTGGAAAGCATGTGCTATTATTATCCCCATTTTATAGATGCAGAGACTGAGACAAACAAAAGTAAAGTAATTCACCCAGAGTCACAGAGTAAGCATCTGAGGCCACATTTGAACTCATGTCTTCCCAGCTCTGGGCCCAGAGCTCTATCTACTAAACTAGGTGTCTCTTTAGAAGAGTGGCTCCCCCCCCCACAGAGGTTTTCACACAAGGGGTCACTTTAAAGAGAGGGGGGGAGCACTCTAATCAACATAGGCCCAGCAACAGTTCTATATTGCTACATATACATACATGCATGCACGCATGCATATATAGCCACATACACAGAGAGATCAATATATAGGTATACATACATATGAGTATATATTTCATATTGTGCACACACATATGCATACATATACATACATGCATATGCATACATGTATGCATATGTATATGTGGATATAAAATATATATACTATATATTTGTAATATGTGTGTGTATGTACGGAATTGTACCTGGCCTGCCAATGTCTACCTTTATCTGATTGAGGCACTACTAAAATTTAAGTGAAACACATCAACTGTCTTTTTAGCTCTTTCTGTAAGGTGACTCTTCAAGAACCGGGTTGGAATCCAAACTCTGATACTTACTAATTATATGACAGTAGATAAATCACTTTCTTGCTCTGTGCCTCATTTTTCCCTTTGTGTACAATGAGGGTGTTAATATTTCTTGCATCACCCACATCACAGGGTTCTGGAGGGAAAAAAAAAACATTTTGTAATTTTTTTTTAAGTTAACATGTCAGATTTGGAAAAGATCTTAGAGATCACTTTATGCAGTTATCCTCCTCTCATCATTTATTGACAAGGAAAATGAGTCTCAGAGAGGGAAAGTAATTTGTTCAAAGTCCCATAGCTAGTATTCGGTAGAGACAGCAGCAGAACCTAGACATTCTGTCTCCATTTTTCATGGCTCTTTCCAATACATAACGCTGCCCTGTTATTCCAAACTTCCGATGACTCCCTACAAAATGCCATATCACATTGAACCCCTTGCTTGGCATTCAAGGCCATTAACATTTGGCCCACCCTATTCACCAAATGTGAAGATCAGTCCTTCTACACACATCCTCTACTCTCCATCCCCTTACTCTCCCCAAACATCCTGTGATTTCCCCCATCTTTCAGTCCTTTTTTATGTTGTTCCCATCATTTGGTTGCTATTGTAACTTGTATAATTTTTTTTTTTTTAC